CTCGATTTTCATTCTTCTGCGATAAACCAACGAGTAAAAGAAGGTAACAGTTTACGCCCCGTACTTGTTGCACAGCTGTAAATATTGAAGATAGGCACTGCCTGCTACTGACAAAGAAACAGAGATAAGCGGTGTATTAAAATCCACATCTCCAACGCAAATATCTCTTGTTACAGGATAGGCTGAGCAGCTAATCTCATCGCCATTATCAACTTCGTCCCCTACTCATCACCGCATACAGTAAATGCTACGATGTCTTGCAACTTGAATTACAATTTGGCGTGGACCAGGGACGCAGGAAAAAACCGTTTCACCCAAAGCGATCTCAAAATCTGACTCGGGCAATATGGCTTTCCCTCTGGAAGAACCACTACTGACATGATACAAGCCTTTCGACAGTTTGGTGAGAAACATTCCGAGTTCGCTCATCCGATGTTGTTTGTGAACGTGGAAAAACACTGCAAATAATTTTATCAAAAATGATTTAGGTATGCTCTCAAAATTCGAGACTGTCAATAACGCACTGCTGCAAGCCATTCAACTGTCATGTCTTGACAGCAGGAGTCTGTAAAAGTCAACCGCAACAAATGAAGCCTTTCATTGTCAGCACTGCATTTTGCCAGTGGTGCACTCTCTCTTCGCTCCGATTAATTCTGTACATTGACAGGATCATCAGGCGCAGACAAAGAAATGAGTTCATCAGAGGAGATACTCAAACGAGAAGTTCGCTACCTTGTCGATAAGCACGTTGCATTGGTTTACTGTGAAGTTGATCAACAAGCTCATTAGAAATATTCGCAGTCAAGGGTAATGGGACCTGTATGCAAAAGAACACACGCAAAACCGACTGGTTAATGCGTTCTTGATCCCTTGTACGGTGTACCGGCAGGTGAGGGAAGTGCCAATGAAACACGCGGAGAAGTTCAATTACTTCCACAACGTGACTAAAGTGCTGTAATGCGAGAAGTCTATAGCGGACAAGAATTTTTGGCGAAGTTCTTCATTAGCGATTTAGAACCTCCATGACCATGGAAAAATCGAGTCTGAAGATAGGAGAGGGCTAACAGCGTGCTCTAGTTTACATTTGTTCCTGTTCGCGGCGAGTCATGGCTATGACCGAAAAATCATGATCGTGAACGAAAGCGTTAAAAATGAGATTACTGATTAACATGCTATCATGCGCCAACACAGAGCTCATAAATCCGGAAAACCCTAAGGACCTCAGGTGCTACTTCTAACGACTAAAAAATCTCACCCATGCCTTGGTTTCGACTTGCTCTGTGATGCAATTATGGTGGGAGACCAAGCGACCACCGTTGCTCTGCCAGCGGGGAGAAACCTCGAGAAAGACCAGAATAACGCAAAAGCCAGTATATAATTTACGAATCCGCCTGTCGGTGCCCAAGGATTGACTCCAAGACTGCGAATATTAGCGACATTGCCTGAGGGTGCTAGCACCGCGACCAAAAAGGACAGCCAGCATCTGAAGTGAAATGACTGCTAAAATTCCAGAACAACAACCACACTGTCTAACATAAAGTCATATAATTCACATACATTTGTAACACCAGGTGATTCATAACGCGGTTTTTGTCTGAAATGTTGGTTTCTTGACCGTAAACTTCGCCCGTACAACAACAGAATCAGACCACTTCTCATTTAAAATGCACATATCAATTTCTAAGCTGCAGATTTAACAGAGGGAGTAAAAATGAAAGGAAGGAGATCCAAACGCGAATGCCCAGTGCTAAGTACGACAGAATCATTGAGGAGTTCCTTAGTCTTCGCTCAAGCAAACCAGCGGCACGTTAAGTTCCGACATCAAAGAGGACGAAGATCGTTAGCAAAAGCTCTCGGCGCCTACTTACCTCCTTTTCTTCCTTGCCCATGCTTTTCCTTTCTTCTGACAATTTCTTGAAGTATGCATTTATTTCCCGAAAATCGCATCGCTTCAAGTCTTTGATCAGCTCGCGCTCTTCATGCGTCATTACCTAAGAACAGATTATGGCGTTTGGACAATAAGCGATCGACCGATCGACCATACCTTCCGCCAGTCGCCAAAAAAGTTATTGTTAAACACCTCCTTGGTAGTGTACTCGTGGTCAAGCATTTTGCCATAGAACGTGGCAACTTCTTCGGCGGCAGAACTTAACCTGATAGGCTTCCCTACAAAATGCACAACCGTCTACGTACGGCAAGTACAGACGCTGGCTTCTTCGCGTTACCTTCATAGTAAAAACGAACGTCCGCCGGCAGGGGATCATAGGCAGGAGCGAACAAGGGGCCTTTGTGTTCCAGGAACTTCCACTTGATGCCTTCTTCCCGCGGTTCCTCTTCCCACCTAAATGCACCGCTGACCAACAAGAGACCACCACACTGACGAAATGCAACATACCATTTCCATATTTCAGTCTCATCCTCGTCCTTCTTTCTCCGCTTCCTGATTGGCTCGTTGGCATTTTCTGTTTTGACGTCTCCAGTCTGCGATTTGTGCTTAGACTTGTTCTTTGACGGTTGTTGCACTTTCTGTTTATACCAGTATGATTAAAACGCAAAAAAAGCAATCAATCAATAGATCGATACCTCTTCTTTTTTAACTTTTGATCGTTCCCTATTTTCATTTATTTTCACATCTCTTTCTGGCTTAACTGACGGCTTTTTGGCGCTGAAAGAAATTTTGTTTACCAAACGAAGATGTCAAGTTGCGGCTAGAAGGTTTCAAAATACAAAGATACGATCAGTACAGATCACAATGAACCGCTAAAAAGTTCAGTGCATCAGTTTGTAAACAATGCACCACAGGAATGGCTGTAAACGCATACCTAATCATGAACTTTACAAAAAGCACTCTACTTTGCATGCATGACATTACGTTTATGGTCTTCGTATTTTCAAGGTGTACGTGATCCATATGCACGCACATGTTATTGCCAACATTTTCAGAGTACTACGTTTTCTAGACAGGTGAGCGATCGCCTTTAATTTTATATCTTCAAATTTTTTAAGACAGTTCTTCTGCCACTGGTGCAGGTTAAAGCACATAAAAATCAACTTGATAATTCTGATATGCGAGAGTCCAAATTACAATTAATGCGCTGGCACTCACTGTCAATATTGCAGTGAGAAACCATGACAATGAGTTACCTGATGCAACTAGTATCTATTATTTTTCTGGATCGCAGCTTGATAAACAATCACGCCCACTTACACGCTGTGAACCATTGTTCAAACAATGTTGAACCGTTTGTCATAACGGTGCCTGAAACGTACTATTACGAATTTGGTCAGTTAGCCAATATCGCGAGTAAAATCTCAACACCCAGTCTAAACAACGCAGTTGTGAACGAATTTTGTAGGCTCTGCTCGTTCTTTATACCACAGCAGCAGCAACCCTATTCAGAACCGAGTCGCTTACGCAAAATATGCTGACGATAAGGCAAATCTGACTCTAGTACCTATATAAGAAAACAACTCTGGCTTAATATCTAATCCGTGATAAGAAAGACTGACCGCACAGCACTGATCCTGTGTAAAACGTGAACCAAGTCTAATGACTGCGTTTTCCACCCTACCATGCTCAATAACGTGCTGAGTTCAGAAGTACGCACAGCAACTGCACAATTCCGAATCATCTTCAGAAGCACCGCAATTGTAAAGTAGTACCAGGTTACCACTGTCGACCGATGTCTCAAAAGAGAAACTTGGACAGATGCACTGGCCAACAAACTACTGGATGACACGTCAATTTCGCACAAGTTTCAAAAGTTTGCCGATGTACACTGCTGGATCTCGTAACGAACCTGACCATCCATGTACTTCCCTGCACTGCCTGCTTCCTCAAGGCAGTGCTGCGTATCTGAGGTCTTGAGATATTGCTGGACAGATAATTTCAACATAACTTATACGAGACAGAAACCTTCCTGCTGAGAGAACTAGTCTACTAGACAGTCAATACGATAAAACAATCCTTGCCGCCCCGCTACTCAACCACTGAATTCATATCTCCAGTTGGCCTATTACAAATGGTTTGTACCAGAATAAAATATATACCACGTGCCATGGATATCGCCAAAAGACGTTTAGAAAATAAATCATTCCCACAGACAGATTTCGATCGACATTGAGAAGGATCTACAGGATTTGAGCATAATGTATGAGATCTGAAGCATATCTTTGATAACCTGAATCCACATTGACTTTTTTTTCACACTTTCGTTAAATTCTTCTTGAATACTTGATTCACCTTACGTGAGTGATGAAAATTATGCCTTCTAGAACACTTACATATGTTCTAGCCACTCAGCATCATAAAACAAACACTACGGCTATGTAGTTCTTTATAGCTTCAAACACATAATAACTTCAATATTATCGCACAGTATGGAACAAAATGACTATAGATAGACGAATTCTGTGATAGTGGCGAATTTTACCTGCACTCGCAATAACCTGGTTGTTACCAGTTCCAGTATTTAACTGGAAGGGATGCAGCATATTAATTACATTTAGTATACTTTGCTGGTTGAGATATGGACGGTCAAGTCTATCGAGACACTTCAAGTTTACTACCCGAGTCTGTAATAGAAACATCAGCCTTGCTAAAGGGCTCTGCCTGGCGACATGATGACAAGTACGCCAACAGAAAGGTACCCAATTCGTTAAACGATTGACTTGTATTAGGCATTTTCGGCAGTGAAATTTGCAGACAATCAAGTTTTCTACAAGGGTCTTATATTACTATTCAGAGTGATAGTTTGTACAAACTTGAAAGGACTGAGGCCGATGCGCTGTTCAGCCAAAAGTGCACGCTTTGTCAGGACCGCTTAACGGCTCATTATAGCAGTATCAGCGCTTAATCTACTTAGACCTCAGATTGGAAACGGATCGTTCATCAAAGTAGCTCAACGAAAGCAGTTACGTGGTCAAAAC